GGCGGCTGCGGCTGCTGCTGCTGCGGCTGCGGCGGCGGCTGCGGCTGCTGCTGCTGCTGCTGCTGCCGCTGCTGCTCCAGAAGGTCCAGCACCCGCAGCTCCTGCCGCTCCCGCTCCAACCGCTCCTGCTCCTCATGCTCACGCCGACGGGCAGCCTGGAGACGCGTGTCGTGGCGGTGGGGAGGCGGAGTGGACTCCGCAGAACCAGGGTCTCCAGCTCCAGTCTCCTCAGACTCAGCACCCCCAGAACCAACACCTCCAGTGTCAGGACCCCCAACTCCAGCACCCCCAGAACTAGCACCTCCAGTGCTAGCACCTCCAACTCCAGCACCCCCAGAACTAGCACCACCTGCGCCAGCACCTCCAGCTCCAGCACCCCCAGAGCTAGCACCACCTGCGCCAGCACCTCCAACTCCAGCACCCCCAGAACTAGCACCACCTGCGCCAGCACCTCCAGCTCCAGCACCCCCAGCACCCCGCGACCGAGCACCCCCAGACCGAGCACCGCCAGCGGCTGCACCTCCAGCTCCAACACCAACCGAGTCCACAGTAGCCTGTCGCGGAAGTGCCGAAGGCTGCTAAGGGGACTGTGAGGAGGACTGTGGGGAGGGAGACGCTACCTGACGCGCGACCGAGGGTAGAGGGGTAGCGTGGGACACACCAGACGGGGCAGGACCAGGGGGGGGCGGGGGTACCGGAGGAGCGGGAGCAGGAGGAGGAGAGGGTGCGAGGAAAAGAGGGGGAGGGGGTACCGGGAGACCTCGACAGGGGTACCGGGTGTAGTAGGACACGGAATCGTCGAACCTGACGTCACGGGAGTCGAGGAACTGGTGGAGGGGCGGGTGGTAAAAGGACCAGTCAGCAGAGTCGACCGGGAAACCAAGGAAGACATAGTCGACGGCGCGTGCCGAGAGCTTGTCCGCAGAGGTGTCGCGGACTTGCGCAAGGCAGCCCCAGACTCGAAAGGCCGACCCAACACCAGGGGAACCAGTCCAAAGACTAGTCGGTGAAACCTCGGGCTGCGAGACACGCGGCTGGAGGTTCAGCTGGTGTGCGGCGTAGCGAACCGCATGGGGCCACAGAAAATGGGGCGCACGGGCATGGATCATGGACGTGCGGGCGATGTCCATGACCAAGCCTATGCGGCGCTCAGCAACCCCATTCTGCTGTGGGGACTCTGGCAGCGTCCAGGACTGGGTGATGCCCTGTTCGCCGCAGAATCCGCCGAGAATGCCGGAGCGAAACTCGCCCCCACGGTCGGAGTGGAGACAACTAACTCGACGACCACGAGTGCCCTCAGTGGCTAGAAGCCACCTGATCAGCGTAGCAGTCACCTCGGACTTCTTCGCAAGAGGGAACACTGTGGTGTACCTGGAGAAGTCGTCCACGACCACCAGAAAGTAACGCTCCCTCCCAGACCCCTGCGTCGGGGCAGGGCCCCAGACGTCCAAGTGGAGAGTCTCGAAGGGAGCGGTGGCCGGACGAAGGGAGGAGGAGTGGGGAGTGGCGCGTAAGCGACCGGCGACGCACGGAGAGCAAGGAGGGGCAAGCGAGAGAGGGAGCGACGGGAAGGTGCGTGGGAGACCTGTGACTAGTCCCTGACTGAGCATGCCAGGAAGGCGAGGGATCGACGGGTGGCCAAGACGGTGGTGCCACAGGACGGTGCGGTGGGCGAGAGAGCGACAGGAGCAAGACGCAGCGACTGGACTGGACACAGCGACCGGACTGGACACGACTACCTGGCTAGACACAGCAACTGGACTGGGGACCTGGGCCGGAGGGGACGCAACGACCTGAGCGGAGGACGCGACCGGGGAGCGCTCGGTGTGGAGAACGTAGAGACTAGAGCGGGGCTCCCTGGTGAACGTAGCCAGAACAGCACCTGTGGTAGCGTCAGTACAGACTGCAGTCTGCCCACCCCTTACGAAGGTAACCGTGATCCCCCTGTCCTGGAGGTATCCAACACCCACCAAGTTCCGAGTGAACGAGGGGATGTGGAGGCCGCGCAGGACACCAGAGGGGACCACAGGGCACGGGAGGGTGGTGGAGCTACGCGCAACGGCTGGTCCAGAGGTAGGATCAGCCAGAGCCACTGACACAGGAGTGAGGAGTGGCATAAGGGTCGTGTGGTCGCGGAAGAAGCACTGAGACGCGCCCGAGTCCAGCGTGAACGACAGAGAGGCCTCAGCCGGAGGGTCACCTGACCCAGTCGCTACACAAGCACCTAGAGCAGCAACACAAGCACCTAAGCTAGACAGGCACAAGGCTACACTAGCAGGAGGCAAGCAGGCTAAACTACGAACACGCGAGCACACAGATCCCTCAGCACTAAAGTCAGCATCAACATACAAAGCATGCTGACGCGCATCGTCCATGGACAAATCAAAGACATCAATCTTACGGGTTAACAGACGAGACCAGCGAGGCGTGACCGCCAGGGGGCCCCAACGATCCCGGTAGAGGTCGTCGAGGCGGCGGAAGCACCGCGCGGCAGAGTGGTCGTCGCGACCACAGAGACAAGGGCTGCCCGGCCCGGTGAGGCACCAGTGGGTGCAGGGGCCAGCGTCACGGCGAGGGGGGCGAGGGGCCCAGCTGGAAGAGCTGCTGCTGCGGCTGGTGCTCCCAGGGCCTCCCGGACCCCACTGCGGCGGGGGACCCCAGTGCTGCTGCGGACCCCACTGCAGCAGGGGCCCCCACTACTGGAACTGCTGCGGTGCCTGCTGCTGCTGCTGTCCCTGCTGCTGCTGCTGTCCCTGCTGTGGCTGGTGCTGCTGTGGCTGCTGCTGCTGGGGGGCAGCACCCCCACCGGTCGGGCCACCACCTGTGAGTGGACCTGTCTGTCCTGCGCCTCCTCCAAGGCCCCCTCCCCCTGGTGCACCACCGCCGCCGCCGCCGCCGCCGCCTCCACCACCACCGCCGCTCCCACCTCCACCGCCCCCTCCACCGCCACCTCCTCCGCCCCCACCTCCCCCCTTCCCGCCCTTCTTGCCACTCTTGCCCCGTTTCTGCCAGTCTGCGGCAGAAACGGCAGCGGTGTCCGCAGAGACCGACACAGCAGCAGAAGCGCGGGTAGTGGTGAAAGTGGGAAGCTGAGGGGCGGCACACCCCGCAAAGAGACGGGGGGCCACCGCATCAGTGGCGGAGGCAACGGTGAGGAGGCTGCTCTCGATGGTCCCGAGAGCAGTCTGAAGGAGGTCTATAGTGAGTTAAGTGGGGTGCTTCTGAAGAAGCGCGTCGCGGGCAGTGGCAAGGCGGTCAGGGAGGCGGGTGACTAACCAGTGCACAGTGAGCCACATGGGGGGGGGAGCAACAAGGAGCTGTGCGTCGGTACAGGCCGAACGAAAACCGGCGTCAAGCGAGCGGAGGTGAGTCACTAGGTCGGAAACAGTCGCAAACGAGCCTAGGTCGGGAAACACGAACGGCATGAGGAGGCGACTGAGGGAGGCGGAGGAGGGGGTGGAATAGCGAGCCACAATAGCATCCCAAACCCCCTTGGCTGTCTCCACCTGGTCAAAGTGAGCGGCCTCAGTCGGGGGGAGAAGCTCCGATAGCGTGAGGGCGGCGGCCGCGTCACGAGAGAGCCACACGTCCCGAGCCAGGACCCGACGGTCGTAGTCCGCCTGGGCCGTAGGAGTCGGCTCCGGGGCGGTCGGCAGGGCGGCGGGGGACGGGGGTGCCGCGAGAGCACCCGACGCGTGGGCCCACAGAGTGGCGCCGTCCTGACGCTGGCTGGTGAGGAAACGTGTGGTCTGGCGCTGCCAGGTACCGAACTCGATCGGGCGTCCCTCAGCATCGAAACGGAGGCGACGGGCCTCCATAGCGGAGCCCATGCTAGAGGCGACTGGAGCACGGCGGAGGCGGAGCTAAGAACGAGGAGGAAAACTACGGAAGGCTAGGGACGCCAGCGGGGAAACCGACGAGAGACAGTCGGCGAGAAAATAGTCGTGGGGCGGGGCTCTAACCGAACCTAGGTGGCGCTACCGGAGGGAAGAGCGGCTGCCAGCCGCTGAGCCGGGAGCCAAGTGCAGTATGAATGGCGTGGGACCGGTGCACAGGTGAAGGGGAGAGAGATGCAGTAAGCGCACAGAGTGATGCGGTAAGTGTACGCAGGTGTGCGGTAAGCGCACGCAGGTGTGCGGTAAGTGTACGCAGGTGTGCGGTAAGCGCACGCAGGTGTGCGGTGAGTGCACGCAGGTGTGTGGTAAGTGCATGCAGGTGTGCGGGAAGCGCACACAGAGTGATGCGGTAAGTGCACGCAGGTGTGCGGTAAGCGCACGCAGGTGTGCGGTAAGTGCACGCAGGTGTGCGGTAAGCTCACGCTGGTGTGCGGGAAGCGTTGACGGAGGAGGGCGCGCGACAGGCGGAGGGGAGGGCACGCGACGGTCTAAGGAGGGCGCGCGACGGTTGAGGAGGGCGCGCGACGGTTGAGGAGGGCGCACGGCGGTCTAAGGAGGGCGCACGACGGTTTTGGAGGGCGCGCAACGGTGGGGGAGGGCGCGCGGAGGTCTAAGGAGGGCGCGCGACAGGCTGGACAGCGCGGGAGGGCGCGGGCTAGGCGCGAGGAGGGCGCGGAGGGCGCGGAGGGCGCGGAGGGCGCGAGAGCACGGAGGGCGCGTAGGGCGCGGAGGCTAGCTAAAAAAAAACGAACGAGGATCTAACCTACTCGTGATACCATCTCAGAATAGGAATGCAACGGAATACTTGGGATTAGGGTTTGCAAGCATACAAATAGGAGTCCTACAAATGTTGTACCCTCTAGGGAGTGCCTCACTGCAGCCTATCATAACATTAACATTTGACATGCACTCACTTGTGGAGCACCAGGTGGTTTAGGTGCACCCACCCAGGTCCGCATCTACCACTCGAAAGCATTCAATTGGAAGGGTGTTATGCACCGGAAAATATGGTACAATACATGCTAGACAACTTCTACTAAACACTCACAGCAACGCACTCAAGAGATCACCACCGCACAGCACCGCAACACACCGCCTCGCCCCTCACTCGGCCAGCATCTGCTCGGAGTCAACGTCATCGCCCGTGTCCATCTGCGGCTTGCCCCCTCCCGGTGCGCCGCTCGCCTGCTTCTTCTTGAGCCCGCTGACGATGTCATCGATGCGCAGCAGCATGCACGCCGCCTCGATCGCCGTCTTCACTGTCTGCACCTTCACTGCATACGGCTCCCACACCTGGCAGGGCCAAAGGAGGCAGGGATGCAGGGAGGGGATGAGAGAAAGGCATGCAAGGGTATGCAGCATGCACGCCGCCTCGATCGCTGTTTTGACCGTCTGCACCTTCACTGCATACAGCTCCCACACCTGGCAGGCAGCGGGGCAGGGGGGAAAGTTTGATGAGGGGAGTGCATGAAAGGGTGCGCAGGTGAGGCACCCAGCGGCTCAATGGCCGTCTTCACTGTCTGCACCTTCACTGCGTACAGCTCCCACACTTGGCAGCCCGGGGTAGGGGGGGGGAGGGGCGGGAGGGGGGATGAGGGGAATGCATGCAAGGGTATGCAGCATGCACGCCGCCTCGATGGCCGTCTTGACCGTCTGCACCTTCACTGCGTACGGCTCCCACACCTGGCAGGCAGAGAACGAACAGAGAGGCGGGAGGCAGGAGGTTGGAGAGGCTGGTTGTGAGTGAGTGGAAGGAGTGAAAGGGCAAATAGCACACACACCACATCAGCAATTTCCCTGTCTGCTGCCACACCTGGCAAACGCAGGGAGAGGCGGGAGGCAGGGAAACAATAAGGGATGCGAGGAGGAAGAGCACGGACAACTGCCCAACCTTCCACTGCACACGGCTGCCCAACCGGAAGCATACACGCGGAGGAGAGGTGCGTGGGGAGGTGAGGAAGGGGCTTGAGGAGGCGAGGAGGCTATGCAGCACATCACGAGGCATGTGTGCTAGCACTTCCCCCCAACACTCACCCCCACCACTCACCCTCACCACTCCCCACCACTCAACCTCACCACTCCCCACCACTCACCCCCACCACTCCCCACCACTCAACCCCACCACTCACCCCCAGCAGTGCTCAAAACTCACCCCGAGCTCCTTCATGTCAGTGAGGGCGCCCGTGTCGCCGTCAATGCCTATGGACGTGTTGGCGCCTTGTGCGTGCTGTTGGGGTGCGGGGGAGGAGGGGCGGTGGGGAAATGGGTGGGGACGGGTGGAGGGGAGAATGATGCCGGTGCATTCCTGTGAATGTGCGTGTCCCTGGGCATGTGTGTTTGTCTGCAAATGCGGATGTCCCTATAGATGTGTGTGGACGAGTGAGAGAGAGGTGAGAGAGAGGTGAGAAAGAGGTGAGAGAGAGGTGAGAGAGACTTTTCAATAACGTTTTGGCTGATATGGCGTGACGTGGGGGGTGGGAGGGAGGGAGGAAGAGGTGATGGACAGAGAAGGTGGAGGAGTGACGCGAGGGAAATGTGATGAGAGGGAGGACAGGGATTGGTCGATGAGGGACAGAAAGAAGGAGAGAGGGATGAGAGAGGAACGAGGCGAGAGAGGACAGGGAAGAAAGGGACGAGAGCAGGGAGAGGACTGGAGGAATGAACGGTGGAGCGTGAAGGAGGCCAGACCGCACCACGAGGCCAGATGGCTGGCAGTGGCTGGCAGGCAGTGGGGCCGGGAAGAGTGTGCCGCCCACCTCGACCTGCCGCCCACCTCGACCTGCCGCCCACCTCGACCTGCCGCCCACCTCGACCTGCCGCCCACCTTGGCCTGCAGAGCAGTGACGGTGCGGATCACGCTGACTCCGCAGTTCTGTGCTAGCGTGCGCGGGATGACCTCAAACGCCGACGCCACTGCACGGTACGGCCACTGCAGGGAGGGGGGGCGTGGGGGGGAAGGAGAGGGGGGAAGAGTTTTGAGACATCTCAATGCAGTTCTGTGCTAGCGTGCGCGGGATGACCTCAAACGCTGACGCCACCGCTCGGTACGGCCACTGTGGGGAGAGGCGTGGAGATGGGGGGTGGAAGGGGGCAAAAAGGGGACCAGAGAGGGGCAGAGAATGGGGATGACGGGGGAGCGAAATGGGGATGAAGGAACGGCAGTTGGCAATGGATAACCAGCTTCATTCTTCATGCGATTGGAATGCTCGGACCATGAAAGAACCAGCTTCGCTCCTCTTGAATGTCGACATATTTCAATGTGCTGCTCCATGCCCACCCACCTGCTCCATCTAACATGCGTGTATATTCCACCATAGCCTGGCTAGCACTGTGACACTGTCCACCCACCTGCTCCATGCCCTTTCACTGCCCACCCACCTGCTCAATGCCTGCCACGGTGCCAGCCTTGTCCTTGAGAGCAGCCGACACGGTCATCTCCACGGCACCGCCACCCGGCACGAGGCGAGGGTCCACCACCACATTGCGCGCCACTCCCATGGCGTCCTGGGGTTGGGTGGGAGGGGCAGAGGAGGGTGAGGATGGTGGGGTGGTGTGGTGTGTGTATGCACAGAAACAGGTGTCCCTTCCCCACTTCCCCCCCAGCACAAGGCGAGGGTCCACCCCCACATTGCGCGGCACTCCCATGGCGTCCTGGGGGTGGGGGGAGAGGGGGGGGGGGGAGGAGTGAACATGGTGTGGTGCAGTGTAATCCATACGCCTCTCACTAATGTTGTCCTTGCTCGGCCCCCTCAGCAGCACCGTGCACGCCTTGGGCTGCTTGCACCTTCCCCACAGCTGCATTCCCTTCACCTCGCTCCACCCATTCTCACTGCTCACCTCACCTGATTGACCCCTCTCCACCCATTCCCATCCCTCCCTCACCTGCAGGTTCCGCTCCATCTCGTTCAGAATGTCCTTGCTGGCCCCCCGCAGCAGCACGGTGCACGCCTTGGGCTCTTTGCACTCCACGAGGAAGGCGAAGAACTCGTCGCCGATCTTGCGCACCTCAAACAGCCCCGCGCCCGTCCCCACGTCGCTCTCCTGCAGCTCCTCCACTCGGTTCACAATCGTAGCGCCCACCGCACGAGCGATGCGGTTGTTGTCGGTTTTACGGAGGCGACGAATGGCTGCGATGCCGGCTCTGGGTGGGGGGGGGGAGGGGGGAGGAAAAGTGAGTAGTTTTCGAAATCAAAAGGTGAAAGTTGGAGCAGGGGGGGAGCAGGTGGGGGGCAGAGGAGCACGAGTGTCAGTTCAATCCGAACAGCCCCGCGCCCATCCCCACGTCGCTCTCCTGCAGCTCCTCCACTCGGTTCACAATGGTAGCTCCTACCGCACGAGCTATGCGGTTGTTATCAGTTTTACGGAGCCTCCTGATGGCTGCGATGCCGGCTCTGGGTGGGGGAAAGAGGGAGGGGAAAGGGAGAACGGGAAAGGGGAAGCGGGGCGGATGCTGATCCTGAATGGTGGGATATGGAAGACGGGAGGGGAAGATGGGGGGGGAGGAGAGTCGATGCTGGCTCTGGAGCTGGGGGGAGGAAGAGGGGGGTAGAGGAAGGGAGAACGGGTTTCCACAGTGCCAGCCGGGCATGCCATGAGGTTGCCGATGCTTAAAATGCCGGCTCTGGTAAAGGTGAACCAAGAAGGCAGAAACACGAGACCCGGGCGGGACGACTGGCTAGATTTTTGTACGAGGGAAAGTGGAGAGGGGGACGTGGGATGGATCATGGAATGCCACTGCCAGCAACGACAGCAGTGGAGAAAGGAACGGCAAGAGAAAGAGTGCGAGCAGAGCAGAGCAGAGCACTGACTTGGAGAGGTAGTGCGCAGCGAGGTCGCTGAGGCCCTTCTCCGTGATGACGAGGTCGGGCTTGAATGCTGCTATGTGGCGACACAGACCCGCTATGTACTCCTCCTCCATCTTCAACAGCTGCTCCCTGGCAGATTCAGAGACACATTGGCGCATGTATGCACATGTGGGGAGAGGGCAGAGAGGGCAGAGCGGGCAGAGAGGGCACGGACAAGGGACATGAGGGGCAGTGAGGGCGTGTGGGAGAGGAGGTGGAGGTCGCTGAGGCCCTTCTCTGTGATGACGAGGTCCGGCTTGAATGCCGCTATGTGGCGACACAAACCCGCTATGTACTCCTCCTCCATCTTCAACAGCTGCTCCCTGCCATGTGGAAAAGCGGTGGTAGAGAGGGCAAGAACAGAGCACACGAGGGGCAGTGAGCGCGTGTGGGAGAGGAGGTGGCGACACAGAGCTGCTATGTACTCCTCCATCTTTCAACAGCTGCTCCCTGGAAGAAGGAGACACAGGTGCTGGCCCCCCTCCCCTCCCCCCTCCCTTGCTCCCCCCTCCCCCCCTCTCCCTCCACCCCTTCCTGACCACTCACTCACCAGTCCTCTTCTTTCAGCAGCTCCACGTTGGTCTGGTTCTCGCCCTTCTTGTACTCCAGGGGCGAGTCCAGCAGCACCACCCGCGGGTTCTCAATGCCTTCACAACCTCAATCCCTTTCTCACTCCATCCCCATCCTGCCCACTCACCAGTCCTCTTCTTTCAGCAGTTCCACGTTCGTCTGGTTCTCCCCTTTCTTGTACTCCAGGGGCGAGTCCAGCAGCACGACCCGCGGGTTCTCAATGCGGCGCCGCATCTTGCCGGGAGTCACCACGTCCTTGTTGAACATCACACCGCGCAGCACCGCACTGTCCTCTATCCGACCGCCCGGCACCTTCTCCACCTTGGCGTACTGCTTGATGTCAATCTCCTTGCGCCCGCCCACCTCCACTGCCACCGTTTGCACCGCGTCAAGTGCTAGCTCCTGTGGGTGAGGGGAAAGGGTGATGGTGAGGAGGGCAGGGATCGAGAGCAGTTATGTGGTGAGCTGCTCCCCCCCATCTCCACTTCTACCGTTGTCACCGCGTCTAGAGCTAGTTCCTGGGGGAGAGGAGAGAAGGGGGGAAGTGGAGGGCGGAGAGGAGGAAAGAGAGGGAAGGGCAAGGCAAGTTGGGGGAGGAAGGGTTGAGCAGACAGGTAGCAGCTGCCCTCCTCCAGCACTGTTGTCACAGAAGAGGGGGAGAGAGTGCGATGGTGGGTGGGGGAAAGAAAGTGGGCAGGACGTGGGTGGGGAAGGGAAAGTGGAGGAGGGGATTGTGGGAAAGGGCAGGGATTGAGCAGCTACTGCTATCGGCCAAGTGCGGAGAGGAATTGAAAGGCACAGAATTCCGAAGGCGTGTAGGAGAACAAAAGCACACACGGCGAGCACACGAGGAAAGGGCGAGGAGGGAACGAGGGGTCAGGCGTGAAAGCAGGACGACTGTCACACCATATGCTGCATTCTAAGAGGACGTACAGCCATGAGGGGAACATCATATGCTGCATTCTAAGAGGACGTACAGCCATGAGGGGAACATCATATGCTGCATTCTAAGAGGACGTACAGCCATGAGGGGAACATCATATGCTGCATTCTAAGAGGACGTACAGCCATGAGGGGAACATCATATGCTGCATTCTAAGAGGACGTACAGCCATGAGGGGAACATCATATGCTGCATTCTAAGAGGACGTACAGCCATGAGGGGACCACCATATGCTGCATTCTAAGAGGACGTACAGCCATGAGGGGAACATCATATGCTGCATTCTAAGAGGACGTACAGCCATGAGGGGAACATCATATGCTGCATTCTAAGAGGACGTACAGCCATGAGGGGACCACCATATGCTGCATTCTAAGAGGACGTACAGCCATGAGGGGGCCGAAGCGGGTGGTGAACTTGGTGCCGATGCAGCTCTGCAGTATGCTCAGCATCTGCTTCCCTGGTGAGGCATGGTGAAGCACAGGGAAGCACAGGGAAGCACAGGGAAGCACAGGGACGCACAGGGACGCGCGGAAGGAGCACAAGGGGACGGGGATGAATGAATGGGATGGGTGGTGAACTTGGTGTGATGCAGCTCTGCAGTATGCTCAGCATCTGCTTCCCTGTGCGAGGAAGAGGCATGGTGAAGCACAGGGAAGCACAGTGCACCACAGACGGCGTGCAAGGGGACGGGGCATGAAAGGATGAGATGGGTCGGCGGCAGAGTGTGCAGGGGAATGCACGCATTAAGGCATGGAGGCAAGCGAGGGCAAGAGGGATAGTTATGGCGCAAAACAAGGGTGAGAGGGAAGAGCAGGCTGAGTGCGAGAGGCAAGTCAGAAAGGCGAGCGATGAGAGAGGCGTGCAGGGCGCAGAGAGGGAGAGGGCAGGTTTGTCTCACTGTTGTTGACGTCGATCTTGAATGCCACCTTGTCGATCACCGCTATGGCATCGTCCAACGCCTTGGTGTACGCTGGTGGGTGCATGGGGGGGTTGGGGGAATGAGCAATGGCATGGCACCATTAAGGGGTTGAGTAATTGGGGGGTGAATGGGCAATTGGTTGATCGGGGGAGAAGGAGAGGGGAGAGGGGAAAGGCAACGGCGGGGAGATGAGGTGTTAAAGGAAAGAGTGAGAACGAAGACAGGGGCACATGATATTCTAAAGCTGCACCCACCACCCTCACCCACTGAGAGCGCCCTGCCCCACTGAGGGCGTACCTCTGCAGATAACGGTGGGGTGAAAGCCCTTCTCCAAGAAGGGCTCTGCCACGTGGAGCATCTCGCCAGCTGGCAGCACGCAGTGGTGACACGTGGCATGCCGGGCATCAAACAAACGGAGGGAATGGAAGAGTGGATAGGTGAGGGGTGAGAGGAAGGGCATGTCCGGGGCGGCTGAGCGGGCTTGCAGAGTGGAGTGAATAGCAAGGGAAAGGCGCAGCGAGAGGAGGGGATGTATCTGGCGAGGGAAAGGAGTCGAGAGGCCGGTGCTTGGGAGGAGATGCATCTCGTTAGAGGGGAGGAGAGGGGAGGAGAGGGAAGAGGAGGGAAGAGGAGGGAAGAGGAGGGAAGAGGAGGGAAGAGGAGGGAAGAGGAGGGAAGAGGAGGGAAGAGGAGCGAAGAGGAGGGAAGAGGAGGGAAGAGGAGGGAAGAGGAGGGAAGAGGAGCGAAGAGGAGGGAAGAGGAGGGGAGGGGAACCCACCAAGGATGATGACGGAGGTGGTGCCGTCGCCCACCTCCTCGTCCTGCGTGCGACTCAACTCGATCATGGACTGCCATGCGACCCCACCCCCACACACCCATGGCACGCAGGGCAGCAGCAGGAGCAACAGCAGCAGGCAGCAGCAGCAGAGGCATGGAGAGTATTAGGCGCATGCATGCGCACACAAGGCACAAGCCCATGGGCATGAGGAGGTGATGCGGGGCATGAGGAGGTGATGCAAAGCGCAAAGGGCAAGTAGCAGGGAGCAAGGTGGGGCAGGGCAGGCAGGGAGGTGGACGGCTGTGGATGCTGCTAAGGAGAGTCCGGTGGGTGCCTTGGCGACCACGTCCCAACCGTCACGTGGTTATAGCGAATTCCAGGGCCCCAACGCTCACACCTCTCAACCCCAAACCTAAACCCTCGACCCTCCTCAGCCCTCAACCCTGACTGTGCTACTGAGCACTCCCTGCAGCAGTACAGCAGTAAAACATCCCTCCCTATCACACCTTTACCTCTCTCTTCCATCACACGCCTTGCCCCTACACCCACTCACGACACAGGCTCTCACCTTGGCAGCCGGGTGCGTGACGTCGATCTCTCTCAGAATGGCGTTGCCATCGTTGGTCAGCACGATGCCTGCATGGCACGGCATGGCATTGGAATGGCGGGAATCATTTACAGAATGGCATGGCATAAAAAGAATGGGAATTTCAGGCAGCTCTCATCACCACCACCCCATCCCACCACCCCATCCCACCACCCCATCACCACCACCCCATCCCACCACCCCATCCCACCACCCCATCCCACCACCCCATCCCACCACCCCATCACCACCACCCCATCCCACCACCCCATCCCACCACCCCATCCCACCACCCCACCCCACCACCCCATCCCACCACCCCATCCCACCACCCCATCCCACCACCCCATCCCACCACCCCATCCCACCACCCCATCAGGTGACCTGAGCTGAGGGCCGCTCAGCAGCTCATGAGCCCATTTCACCACCCCATCACGTCGTCAAGAACGGGTGCTCAGCAAGCAGCACGGCGGCAAGCTTCAACGGGGTCCCACGCCTTTCTTTCGAAAGATTGACCCACTGTATGCCCGTCACACAATTACCTCCTGTGGCGTGCACCTCACCTCCTGTGGCGTCTAGCAGCATCTTGAGCATGGAGCGCGGGCCCAACGTGGTGCGGATAATGTCCGCCACGGCCTGCGCGCGCGAGGGGGTGCGGAGGTAGATGCAAGGGGGGGAGGGGGGGCAGAGGAGAAAGGGAAGCTCGGGAGACGAGAAGGAGAGGTGGGAGGGGGAAGGGATGCGAGGAGACGGCAGAGGAGGACATGGGCGAAGGGGTTAGGGCGGAGGGGTGTGTTAGAATGGATGGGAGTGAGCATCGAAGCGGGGCGGCGCAGAAAAGAGTGGGCGCGCCTGGAAGCACACTTGCGTGCTCACGCAGCGAATGCATCTCCGCGTCTCCGCATCTCCGCGCCACCTCCCGCGGCACCTCAGGGCTTCCCTTGGCTCGCGTCGTCCACAAACTCGTCCTTGCCACAAGCGCCCAAAACCCCGACTGCTACACCCGCGCCGTTACTCCGCACCCGCGCTACACACCACCCCGCTTCCCGCCACCCCGCTTCCCGCCACCCCGCTTCCCGCCACCCCGCTTCCCCCCACCCTGCTGCGATATCCCAAAGCTCGCTATGCAAAGAGCCGCTACTTCCCAGCGCGCGGTTTTCCATTCAACCCCAAAACCAAACCCCTGCGCCTCGCGTCTCGCAGCGACGTTGCGAACCGACTCACTGCGCAAAACCGAACGTCTCAATAGCAAGATTCCTATTTTTTGCGTCTCGGGTCTCGCGTCTCACCTTGGCCGCCGCGATGTTCCCGAGCTGCGCCTTGCGACCCGACTCGCGCTTCGTGTTCGCATCTGGACGGGGACGGGACAAGGCGAGAAAGGCGGGAGGGGAATGCACGGAGGGATGGTGAGGCGCACGGCCGCACTTCTCTGCTTTGCTTTCCATTCCATCGCATCCTAAAATCCCCGCTCCCAAACGGCTTTCCGTTCCCTAAAACGTCTTCTCTTCTCTTAGCTGGTCCCGCGGCGAGCGAGAGGAAGCTGTGCCTCTCAAACAGCTTCCTCGCGCATGTCTCAAACGTGACTTCAACAAAAGCTGTGGATGCCTGCGAATCTGCGATGATCGGCCGGGCACGGGCTGCCATGCCATCCGGGGCTCAAGATCGACCCACTGGCCTCGCATCGTACGCGCGTCAACACAGCACGACGCGGATTTCAAAGGACAAAGCGAAGGACGACTGTAATGCTCGAATCCTGCGGCTCTAGAGCGCTGCGTGGCTCGGAGCGGGCTTACGACTCGCCGCCGCTCTGCTCACTGCCGAGCCGCGTCAGATTCACCAGTCTTTGCTCTAAAAGCGGAATCTATGCGGCAGATACAGCAGGTAAACGGATCCATAGCGTTCCCTGCAATGATGCTGACAGCACTAAACTTTAGGACGTACTTAGAACGAGCACCGGGCCCTGCATCGTGACTGGTCGGTGACGGAGTTAAGAGGCGGCGTGACGATCAAGGAGCCGTGCGAGTGCGGGCGAGTGGACGGTCGGGATCGTTTTCCGTGGTCGATCTCGGTCACGCAGATGCGGCAGATAGCCGGCGGGCGGAAGCGAGGCGGATCCACACGAGTACGGTATCGACGCCGAGGGATCGAGGTGCGGAGAAGGCAGCAGAGCGACAGATTAGTGATCTGAGAATGACGAGATTCAGGAATTCGAGAACCGTAGTGAGGGGATTGGGCCGCCTGACAGATCGAAGTGGAAGCGAGGCAAAGGTGATGGTGCTGGCACACGACCACCTAGATCCACTCGGACGGAAACCAAAGTGCGATACTGTACTATCATTCGAAGGAACGGGTAATTTTTTTTCTCAAGGGAGGCTAATAACGGGTACGGGGAAAAGTAAGGATTGCACGTGTAGAAATTCGTGTGTACGATTTCCCTTCATTCGCTCTAGTTCTGAGCTTCAATTCAAAACCCTGTCACCGTCCCTCCCTCGTACCCAAACCCTCTCCTTCTCCCCTAACGCCACCCCCACCTCTCCGCTCCTCCACGGCATTGCTTCGTAAGCTCAGCGCTTACCACCCCGCTGCTCGTCAGCATCGACAACCTCGGTAGCGGCTAGCATGGTTGAAGCAGAAGCGCCGGCGGTGGACGATAGTTTAGCTGGGGAGGACGAGGAGGAATTAGTCCGAAGTGAGGAGTACGATGACGAACACGTAGGCGAAGATGGCGACGAGGGCGACGAGGGCGGCGACGACGATGACGACGATGACGACGATGGCGACGACGACGACGAGGGCGAGGCGGCGGCGCTGTTCGGCGGGCAGCAGAAGCTGCACGCGATAAACGACGCGCCCGCGCTGCGCAAGAAGCTCGACGAGTTCGCGTGGGCGGGCAAGCGGTCGTGGATGGAGTCGCTCGCCGTCATCGTCATGGACGACGAGGCGCAGGCGGACGCCGCCACTGGCGCCGCCGGCGGCGTGGAGGCGGTAGACGCGGCGGACGACTTGGTGCGCGAAGCCGCGTTCTACTCGCAGGCCGCCGCGGGCGCCAAGGCGGCGCTCGTGCGGCTCCAGGAGGAAGCAGCCGCCGCCACCGCCGCCGCGGGCGCCGCCGGCGCAGGCGGGGGGGAGGAGGGGGAAGAGAAGCGGAGGTTTCCGCCGTCTGCGGTGGCGCTGCTGCGGCCGGCGGACTACTACGCGGAGATGGTGAAGAGCGACGCGCACATGGAGCGCATCCGCGCGCGGCTGCTGGCGCAGCAGAAGGAGATGGAGGGCGCGGAGGAGCGCAAGAAGTCGCGCGAGGGGAAGAAGTACGCGAAGCTGGTGCAGGCGGAGCGGCGTAAGGAGCGCGAGAAGGAGAAGAAGGACTCGGTGCAGGCGGTCGAGCGCTGGCGCAAGCTGCGCCAGCAGAGCAACTTCCAGGACGGCGCAACTACGCCCGGCGGAGCGGACTTCCCCGTGGAGCTGGATGCGGCAATTGGGGGGGAATTCCCGCGGGCGGAGAAGCGCGGGGCGGGCGCGCGCGGGACGGGGGGGAGAGGCGGGGGGAAGGGGGCGCTGGAGAAGCGGAAGCAGCGGGATTCGAAGTATGGGTTTGGCGGGCGGAAGCGGCTGAAGAAGCAGAACGACGCGGACTCGACCAACGACTTTGGGGACTTTGGGGGCTTTGGGGACGACGATGGTGGGCGCGGGGGACGAGGGGGATTCGCGGGTAGAGGGTTCAGGGGAGGGGGAAGAGGGGGGGCTAGAGGGGGGGGCAGAGGGGGGATGAGAGGAGGGAAGGCGCAGCGGCCGGGGAAGGGGAGAAGAGAGCAGATGAGGAACCAGGGAAAGTAGGGTGGAGGAGGGGGGGAGAGTGAGGAAAGGTAGACAAGGGAAGTTGGGGGGAAGGGGAGGGGAGAGAGGGGAGAAGGGAATTTGGGGCGAGGGGAGGGGAGAAGGGAAGTTGGCACGGGTCAGCGCTCCCTCAGCCTGCTGGTGACCCGGCTTGTGAGAGCAGTGGTGTTACTTTCCTGCAGTGCTTGCGGTGCAGTGCGGTGCAGTGCGAGAGCAGATGCGGAACAAGGGCAAGTAGAGTGGAGTGGGAGGAGGAGGGACGAAAGGAAAAGAAGGGAAGTTGGAGAGGGTGGGGGACGGGAGAGAGCGGGCGCGGAGCAGGACAGGGAGCAGCACTTCTGGGAGGTGCCGTGTGAAGCAAGGAGGGCGGGAGGGGGTGGAGCAAGGAGGGCGGGAGGGGGTGGAGCAAGGAGGGCGGGAGGGGGTGGAGCAAGGAGGGCGGGAGGGGGTGGAGCAAGGAGGGCGGGAGGGGGTGGAGCAAGAGGGCGGGAGGGGGTGGAGCAAGGAGGGCGGGAGGGGGTGGAGCAAGGAGGGCGGGAGGGGGTGGAGCAAGGAGGGCGGGCAGGGGTGGAGCAAGGAGAGGGCGGGTAGGGGATGAGCAGGCAGTGATGGCATTACCGTATATTGGTGGCCACTCCTGCATGGGTGCTGCTGCCCCCTGCCCTCTCTGCCATCCCTCTCTCTGCGGGGGGAAAAGGGGAGGGGAGAGAGAGGGTGGGGAACGGGACATGGCTGACTGGCAGGGCATGGGGATAGAAGCAGCGCTTCTGGGTGGTGGCATGCAAGGCATAGGAGGGCGGGCAGGGGTGGAGCAAGGAGAGGGCGGGCAGGGGTGAAGCAAGGAGGGCGGGAGGGGGTGGAGCAGGCAGTGAGGGCATCATGGGTAGCACCGCACCATCAGAAATATAAATTTGTGTTGCACTGTATGGCTTGGCTTGGCTTCTTTGTTTGTCATTTGTACGTACCAAACCAAGGTTTTTGCTAATCCGAGCAGGATCATTTACAGTATAGACTGGTACCCTCATCATCTATGTTGGGCTGAAAAAAGAAGCCCTTAGGATCTTTGCAGGGATGAACTCTGGGTAGAGTTGTTGTAATAGCGGAAGCGTTAATTAAAGAGTTGTGAACCACCTTGCGCTAGTATATGAGGGCAAAGTAGATTGATTAAAACAAGGAGATACAGGATTATATATGAGTACAAGGAATACGAAGAGATGCAGTTATAACTATACTGTTGCTGTTGCGGTTCGATACAGTGACGACTCGGGCAACTGCTCTGTAGCGAGTCAGTTGTGTGTCCTTGCTGTCGCGCTGTACTTGTCAGGTCAAAGGTCGCTGACCTTTGACTTTCGCGTAACCGCCAGCAACTTCTCAACCTCCGAGGGTTGACTCGCGAGTGCCTCGATATGATTTACTTCGCTTCTGGTGCGGTGTTTCGACACGACAGAGGCGCTTATGATTTGTTGTTTCCAACACTCCTCTTCGCTTCTGGAGTGTCGTTGCTGATGACGTGGCTCTGTCCAGTCAGCAGCATGCAGTACTCGAATTTCTGCTTTCCGAGTTTCTTGGTCAAGTAGTCGGCTGCCATCTCGGATGTGGGGCAGTATGACAGCTCGAGTCTCCCCTTCTCGATTTCGTCCTTCACGAAGAAGTAGCGTAGGGCAATGTGTTTCGTCCTGTTCGCGAAGCCGTTCTTGTTGGCGATGCGAATTGCCGACTGGTTGTCGCAGAACAGGGTGAAGTTGGGTAACTCAGCTAACTTCGCTTCTTCCAGCAGCTCGCGAAGGTAAAGTCCTTTCTTGGTGGCTGAGCAGAGTGCAATATATTCTACTTCAGCTGACGAGGAGAGCAATTAATTCCTGCTTGCTCGACTGCCAAGAGATAGGTCCGATAGGTTCGAGGCGGTAGACGTAGCCGGTGCGGGAGCGCCTATTGTCGGAGTCGCCAGCGTGATCGGCGTCGACGTAGCCGATTAACTTGGTCGGTGTGGTTGCGTTCTTGTGATAAGTTAGGCCGATCGTTGGGGTGCTGACGAAGTAGTGAAGAGCGCGGTCGAGCTCTGCCAGGTGTTCTGCTTCAGGCTTCTTGAGGTAGGTGGCGAGCTGGCTTGCGGAGTATGAGAGGTCGGGGCGGCAGGTGACAGCTGCGAAGAGAAGGCATCCCAGCTTCTTCTGGTAGTCTCGTATGCCGGCGGGCTTGAGTAGAACGGAGTTTCCTTTGCCGTTCCCTGCCGTGTAGCGGTATGGCGTGGAGATGGCTGTCGGTGTGAGTGCAAAGCGTTTGGCGATGGTGTCGGCGTATTTTTCGGCGCTAAGGTAGATCGCGTCTTCCTCTTCCCGGATGTTGAGCCCGAGGTACTGAGTGACGGTAGATGAGACCGTGAGCGTGAGATCTTGCTGCAGCTCCCCTTCGAACCAGGTAGTGATGCCGTCAGTTGAGCCGATGTAAAGGAGATCGTCTACGTAGACGATTAGCAGGATGTAGTCTGCGCCTTTCGTGAGTCGGTACATCCCCTGATCGTGAGGTAATTGCTTGAAGCCGATGCGGATGAGGCGGGCGTGCAGATACTGCTGCCATAGCCGCGGAGCTTGCTTAATTCCGTAGAGCGACTTCAGCAGTTGACAGACCTGGTTCGGCTCCCCGTTGGTACCGTGCGGTAGTTCCACGAAAATTTCTGCGTCAACGGGTGCGTAGAGGAAGGCGTTTGCGACATCGATTTGCCGTAGCTTCTTTTTCTTCATGGCGGCGATTGCGAGAAGGATTCGGAGCGAAGTGTGTCGGCTGACCGGAGCGAAGGTTTCGGTGAAGTCTCGTCCGTGTTCTTGGTCGAAGCCACGTACGACCCATCGTGCCTTGAATTTGTCAATTGTGCCGTCAGCCTTCGTCTTCACGCGAAAAACCATTTTTCGGTGAGAATGGTCTTGTTCCGTACTACGCCGATAGGAACTACTTTCCACGTGTTGCGTTCCTCCAGTGCCTTCAGTTCCTTGTCCATGGCTTCGCGCCATTTTTCCTTATGCTCCCCCCCCAGAGCCTGCTGAACTGTCGCAGGCTCTTTAGGAATGGTTGCGCCGTAAAGTGCGGTGACGAGACCACGGATTTGGAGCCCACTCTGTGTGTAGCGAGGGAGTGAAGTATCCTCTGGATAAACTGCTTCGTCTCCCGCTTCTGGATCAGGTGCGAAATTAGGTCCTACGCGTTCTGCTTCGTCGGTGTTGACTTGTGCAGGCGTAACGTAACCGTTGTCGGCGAAGTGGTAAAAGACTCGGCGTTGTTACTTTCGCGTGGATTTTCGTCATCCATTGGGACATCGACGGAGCAGTACGGGAGGGGTCCGGCTTCTTCCGAGGCTCCTTCCACGTTCTGCTCGTCCCAGTCAGCTTCGTCTTCTGCCGAAGCGAAGGCACGGGTGCCATTGAATCCGCCCGAGGGATCGGGTCTGTTGCTGCCACGTACGCAAGGTGAACGTCGAGGGTGAGGTTCTCGTAGAAGATGACATCACGTGCTGCGACTGTTTCCCTTACTGTTGATGTCGAAGATTTTCCATGCATTGTGGTGTTTTTCGATGCCCAGGTGTAGTCCCCACTGTGCTCGCTGGGAGAATCGACCAGCGCGTGCAGATGGGGGTCAGTACTGTACCATGCAGCCAAAGACTCTCAACATTTTTGTGTTGCCCAATTTTCCTGTCCACAGCAGGTGCGGTGATTGCGTTGTTCGGGAGCGATGATGACGAAAGCAAGTTGTGCAGCATGACGGCGTGGTCCATTGCTTCGGGCCATTGGTGGTTGGGCAGATGCATGCCACATAGCAGTTTGCGCATGGTGGCTTGGAGTGTCCTGTTCATCCTTTCTGCTACGCCTTGTTTTTGATGAGCGTAGGGAAGGGAAATGAGCCACTTGATCCCCCTTTCTGCCAAGTAGTCCTTGAACCTCTGTGAGGTGTATTCTCCTCCCCCGTCTGACTGGAAACTCTTTAGTTTTACGCCCGATTCTCTTCTGCTGCAGGAAGCCAGGCGACAAAGGCTTCGAAGGCCATGTCGCGGCTTGGGAGATTGAGGTGCCAGACGTATCTTGTGGCAGCGTCGATGAAGGTGATCGTGTAGTTGTACGCGTTTTGTCCGGGTTCGCGGTTGTACAGTATGTCGCTGTACACCTTTTCGAGTGGCGCGTAGGCTGGTGCGCTTGGATTGTGGTGAGACACAAACGGTTGATGTGATAAATCTGCTTCGGGACAGGTGAAGCATGTTCTCGAGCTCGCTGAAGTTCTCTGCCGTCGATCAGTAGAAGTGAGTCTTTGTCGAGCACCCCTGCTCTTATTGTGTTGTTTAACACCGTGTGGCTTGGATGTCCATCCTTGCGTGCCAGGTTCCTTCGGTGGCGCGGTGTCCGGGCGAGCGTCGGTACATGTTGGAGTTGGAGTAGAAGCCGGCGGTGACGTTCGCGCTTCGGTGGACTTCTCGTCGTGTCGGGTTGAGCTGTTGCGCGGGTGTCGGTGGTGTGTCGTCGAGGAGTGGTGCCGTTGAAAGACCAGCGACTGGTGTTGAAGTTCCTGCTGTTGCCGTTGATGTTCCTGCTGCTGCTGCCGATGTTGTCTCTGCTGCTGCCGACGTTGTCTCTGCTGCTGCCGACGTTGTCTCTGCTGCTGCCGACGTTGTCTCTGCTGCTGCCGACGTTGTCTCTGCTGCTGCCGATGTTGTCTCTGCTACATGTTGAATTGTCGCTAACGCTCTTGTCCTTTCTGTCTCAGGGATGGTGTGTGAGTACCAGAAACCGCCAGGACTGAAGTCTGGATCAAGGTCTGGAGGGTGTGTCCAGTTGGTGAAGTTAACGATGGCGTCGCTGTCGGCGGTGCCAAGATCAGGAACGAAGTCAAGAACGAAGACGTTGTTCTTGAGGATCGCCTTGCCGATGTAAAGTCCTCCTCTCCCGTGATACAACTTGAATTCTTGGGTGGTGCTGTCTGCTTCGAGGTGAATCCCCTTCGCCATTAGCTGACTGACGCTTAGTAAGTTGTAGCCGAGGCCTTCTGCAATTAGGACCTTGGACATCTGTAGGACGACATTTGTTTCTCGTGACTGTAGTTGAACAACTCCTTGTCGTCGTGTGCGTAGGTTCTGATTGTTGGCGACGGTGATGACTACTTCGCGTTGAAGTTGGTATTCTCGTTGCACGAAGCGTCCTGAAGAACACATGTGCTGTCCGCAGCAACTGTCCAAGAACCACGTGTCCTTCCCGGATGGTTCGCTCTGGGCGATAGCTGCGTACGTCGGATTCGGCTCCAGTGTCTCACGGCGTGGAGTTCTTTCATCAAGTTGTTCTTCTGGTGAGTAGTATGGTGGTGATCCCGTGATGCAAGAGTCGCTCAGTCTTGCCATGCAACTGACGATGTTCCTTGCTCCTTGTGCAGGTTGTCCCGTTGGAGTCGTTGAGGCTTTAATCTGGGTCGTAGGATTCGCTTGTGTTGAAGCGACTTGATTACTTGAGGGTTGAAGTTGCCGCTGTCGATTCGGACAGTGCGTACGTGGGTGTCCTGAAGTTTTGCAGATGTGGCAGAACGGAGGTACGGGCTTCGGCTGTTGCTGCCGGTTGTTG